GTGAAGAGTATCGATTTTAAGAGAGGGAAGCAGGATATTGTTAGAGTGCCAGAGTCCTGGCACAGGCTGCCCAGGGAGGCTGTGGAGTCTCCTTCTCTGGAGATCTTCCAAACCCACCTGGATGCCGCCCTGTGCCCCGTGCACTGGGTGTCCCTGCTGGAGCAGGGAGGTTGGGAGTCTCTAGAGGTCCTCTTCAACCTCAACAATTCTGTGATTCTGGAATCACAACCTACAAACTATATGAAGTTAAAGGTCAAGGCAGCAGAAACATGGTATAGAGAGAGGGATGGGTAGAGTAGATAAAGGTGAGGGATGGCGTCAAAATATCAAGTTGAATACCAGGAAATCCCAGCTAGCAATAAGTCTGCTTAGCAGTACTAGTAAGAAAGATTATCTCTGGAAGGAGAAAAATCCAGAAACGAGCTTTTAAAGTTGGGACAAGATGAATCCTTGGAGAGACCTGGAGAAGACAAGGAGTGAGGGGTGAAAAGGCAAACACATAAAAATTAGCTATATAAAGTATTTACAAGATTTCTGCCACATTTGCCAATATTTCATTAAAGGTACTTTACCTGAGCAGGTTCATAGCAGTATTTCATTAAAGGTACTTTACCTCACCAGGACATGGAATTACTTAGTGAGGGCTCAGTCCACTGCAAGATGCAATAGGATAGAACATAGGATCATAAAAAACGGACACCTCCATGCCCAGGACCACACTGGATGCAACACACAGCCTATCACCAGCTGGGAAAGCAACAGATCAGGTAGGCATGAATTTATTATACATGTGGCTAACTGCAAGTCCATGAACAGTGTCACAGATACTTAATACAAGGCCCAAGTAGAGCACAATAATGTCGTGCCTAGAGTACTGAATAGGGACATCTTGCTTAGAGCATAACCTGCATACTCAGATCTTTGCATCTTTTTCCCTGATTCATCCCTCATTGACTTTTTTCATTTCCTACTCCGTTTCACCCTTACCATTCTTTGTATTTCTCCCTTCTTCTTCCGCTGCCCTTATTTCAGTTCTCCTGGTCAAATGGGTAAGCATTGACACTGGAAACAGTAGGAACAGAAAGCTGATATGCCCAGCTACTACTTTCTGAACATCTGAAGATGCACATGAATACCCCACATAGCAGTTTGGAAAGATTTCTGCAACAGTCTTGTACTCTATTCCCAAGGGATGAAAGAATGAYCCTCCATTTCCCCACGTAGTTTCTTCTAAAATCCCAAAGGTAAAATAACAGATTGTGGAGAAGCAGCATAGGTCATGAGATCTTTGCTTACTGAAACTTGTCAAGAGGCATTGAAAATAAAGAATTTTATGTCTCTAAGCGGAAATTTGGTGTACAGCTTATGAGCTATCAGTCTGATCTTGCAGTTGGATTTTGTTAGGATTTCACCTGAATGTTGCCTTCTCTAACATCAGTGAATAAAAGTTTGTAGCAGCTCTTTAAACTTCTGCTTTGGAGGGCATGTTAGGGAGGATTTAGCTTGACTGTTACAGCGGTATTCCAGCTGGATGTGCAATTCATTTCGTTAGTCTTTGATCCAAGCTTTCTCATGTCAAAAGAAAGTATAATCAAGGGTTTTATAAGGCATCTCATTCTGTTTGAGTTCTGTGGCTTTTTACCTTTAGAGGACAGAGTTTTGCTTAATTTCCAAATGATTTGTCTCTTAAAGAAAAAAAAAATTAAAAAGTAAATAAAAAGACATGCCTAAATCTTGATTATCACTGAAGTCTAACATCATTTTTTTAAAAGATAATAAAAGTATTTATCAAACTGCTAAGCTCCCATAACTGGTAAATCTTCCAATTAACTTAGATCAGCTAATGCTGATCATGCCAGTCAKCACTATTTTTACAAGTATTATTTTATTGGTTACAACAAAATTATTATTTTACTGGGAGAGACACCATGGTTAATGTTACCCTGTAGGAATAAAAGCAGGAGACTGAAAATTCTGTCATTTCACTTCTTGAACTTCTTCACTTGTCCTCCCTCTAAAAATAAATTACTGTATGTATCATCCTCAGAAACAAGGGTGGATCATCATTGTAGCCCAATGCTCTGTACAAAAAGCAGGAACAGCTTTGTATCTATATCTATATCAAAGCAGGGACAGCTTTATATCTATATCAGGTCACTAATGGCCTGATCCAGTCAAATCTCCAAAACCTCCCAAGGACTGAGATCCCACAATCTCTTTAGGCATGTATTCCAATGCTCCACCACTGCCATGGTGAAGAATTTCCTCCTATATCCAGCTCAAATTTCCCTAGTTGCTGCTTTGGACTAAAATTTCTTTAATCTTCTAAAACACTGTCTTACCATAATCTAGGGGAAAAAAAAAAAAAAAAGAGGGAGAAAAAAAAGGCCAATTAATACTTCTAATACAATGAATAATTATATCAATTCTACTTACGGAATACCATTTTTATTATTTCACAAAAAAAATCTTAATCTTAAAATCCACAAAGGAACTAGAACTTCAAATTTGTATTTAAAGACAGTTTTAAAGTATTATTTTACTGGCCAGCACTATTTTTTAAAAATATATTTTGATTAATATTCTGTATTTGGTCACTAAAAAGGCAGCCTGGCTTAAAAGAAAACAACAACAACAAACAATAGCAGCAGTATGCCCTTTTATGGAGACTATTTACCTAACATATTTACTGAAAGTGACTGATTTACCCAAGTATAAATTTACCCACTGAGATCCCACAGTCTGCATTGTCTGGTATCCTGTACTAACATGAATGCTGACAGAAGTAACAGCCACCTCYGCTTCGGGTTGTATTATTTAATCATAGCTAAGGCATCTCAGGCCTGATTTGTTTTTTGCAGATATTTTAAGTACTTCCTATTCTACAGGATAAATCCTAAGTAACCTTGGCAAAATGTGATCCACAGCAAGGACAGTTAGAAACAAATTCTGAAAGCTGGGAAGCACATCTTCCAGTTTGGAAAGGGCTACCTGATGGAGTGTAAGAGCCAGGGATGCACTAGTTCACTGACGCATTTGCTGAGCCATGCCTGTGAAAGCAGACATACTTACTTTTTTAAACTTTAATTTTAGGCTGTGAATTATAAAAGGAGATGTGCAATAACAAAATGTGATTTGTTCCTCCCTCCCTCCTCCAAAGCAAGATGACTTTTGGGGTAATTCACACAAATATCAAAGAATGTTTTCTATAATGGATACTGAATACTAATAGGCACAAGATACAAGGGCAGAGAAGCAGAGCTAGGGATGACAGAAAGTAGTGCTGAAGAGAAACTATAGTGGGTCTTTTCCAGTGAGAAAGTAGGCAGATGCATTTTGAAGAAATGAGGACGTTCTTGAACAGGAAGGTAGCAGGAGGAAATCCATGAAATTTRGGCAACATTTGCAAGCTGAGGCAAGAAAAAAAAAAAAAGAAAAAAGAAAGAAAAAACCCACTGAGCTACAGATAAAGACTTAGAACCATTTTAGAATGAAGGTATATAAGAAACTKTGAGAAATAATTTAAAAGGTTCTCATCCCAATTTTATTCATTAACTATTAAGGAAAACGATTAAAAAACACACATGGAAGCGTAAGTATGTACATTAGCATATTCTTAATTACTGAACTATAATGGACAAGACGGCCAAAAGTTCACAGAAGCAATCCTTTCAGCTGCTTACCATGCTCTATCAAGAAGTGTGTTTTGTGGTGCACATTTGCAACACAAATAACCACAAACTGCAGTTATTAGAGGAAAGACAAACAGCAGCAATCACATTCTTACATTCCACTGACATGTAAACAGCCAGAACAAGCCTACAGAAAGCAGAAAAAAATATTAATACTACCACATGGAATCTTCTTTAGTAGCATCCTTCACACCGTGACAGGTTTTAGAAAACAGACTCCTGTAATGTTTCCTATAGTACTGAGTATATAGTTCCCATCAGCCCAGAGGACATACTCCACTGTGAAGAAATCAATTTCAAATTCGAGCAACGAAAATTCTTTGCAGCTTTACAGATGTCTCCATAATGGCCTTGTAAAACAGCATTAAACACTCCCATTTTGGGATTGGGACACGTCTCTGGAAACATGTCAACATTAAATGTTTTGTTTTTTTTCACTCCTATAGTACATCGGTTGTTGTAATATGTAGATGACACAACTGGGTAAATTCTTACAAAGATAAAATAAATTCCTGACTCTTGCTCTTCAGTTTCAACAAAGACGATTCAATCTTTGTTTTAAACATTAATTTTCTCAAGCTTTATATATTAGCCACAGGTCTCTTACAGCCAGTTTCGAGGATATATGGAAACATACATGCAAGGATATATGGAAACTTAACAGTTTTCAAGGATATATGGAAAGGATTTCAATKATGCTGAACATTCCACTTGTCAAGAATAACAGCTGTGTAATAATTCATCAATTCAGTATCTTCTCCAATTTATTTTGTTTCACGTTTATCATACAAACTTCAATTTACCACATAATAAAATTACTTTTGGTAGATTTCAGACTCTTCATATATGTAGTATTTAACTAAAAACAAATCAATGAGATGCATTCAGCATATGCAGGATTAACGCCCTAATTTTAAAGATTAGCTTCCTTCTGAAAAAAAAAATGTTTGGCAATAATTGGCATGAACATGCCCGTAACTAGCCTTCCACTGTAACTCCAAAATCCAAATGTACCTTACCTAATGGTTTAAAAAAAATCTCTGGTAGTTCAAAAAAGAAGCAGTTTCTGTTTCTCGCAGTAAGAAAAGCTGCAAGCACAAATACTACAAGCTGTGCTATCACTCTACAGTGTACCACACTTTTAAAACTTTTGAAAAAAAGACTTGTTTTCTCCATACCTTAGGTTAACTAATAACACCACYCTAACAGAACTGAAAGCTTGTTAATAGGTTACCAAAGCATCTGGGTAAATTACTGATGAAAGTATAAAACATTTTGGTGTTCAGCATGAAATTGCTGAAGAAAAAAAAAACAATAATAAGATGGAGGCATTCAAGCAGGCTTTACTTTACCGATTTAGCTGTATTGGAAGATAGCAAGAAGAATCTCACACTCACATGGATTAGAATTCACAGTTCTTTTATTTGGTTATTCATGTTAGTAAGACACTTTTCATTACAACTGTTTAAGGCTGAATAACATTGGACATCACCTCACTTCATATTGCTGCTGCTCCATCCCTTCTTCCCTTTCATTGTGAAGGGGCAATATCAACAGAAAAGTGTTCCCATAACAGGGAAGGGAAGATTTCTTGCAGATGTAGAAAAACCTAGAGAAACAAACCATTGAAAAAGTCAGTCTTTCTCCTGAAAACAGTAAGACCCAAAATTCAAGCAGTCATCATGAGAAAAATAACTCTCTAAATGGCGTCTTTCTGGCTTCCTTGATTACTGTATTACAGATGCACCAAGGACTAAGCCACGGACTTACCATACCAAACTCCTCTTCCGATTGTGGAAAATGGCTTTCCAAGTTAAGGAGTGAGATGCAGCGAAGGTTGTGTTCTAAAGGTGAAACTTAGTTTCTGTTACCTTTCCTGTGGGAAGAGCTCAACCTCTGCAACTGYTGATCCAGCATCTTTCAACAACCATTACATTCCTGTGGGAATATTTCAKGCAGAGGAAAATCTGTGTAAAAGTTTTGCAAATTCAAACCACAACCTTTCTGCTTTGTTTTCTCTTTGATAAAACTTCAGTATCTGCCACTTGGAAAGCAAATATTTCTGGAATTCAGACTATATTTGGGCTACTTCTCCCACACATTGCTGTAAAGATTGGTTGAAAGGGTAACTAGAATCTGTGTTGCTTTGTGTTTGTTACACAGATGGGGAAAATAAACACAAGAACTCCAAATTTCTTCCTGTATTTCCTAAAATATCATACAAGTGTGTAATAAACAATACCACTGAACAGACAGAATCCATGAAAGAATGGTAGTGACAGTACTTTCCACAGTAGGAATAAGGACAAGCTCCACATACGTGTCCTTGGACAAACCACATCTCTTGTGAATACGAGATACAATGTCTYTACAGTTGCACAAAGAATAAACATGGCATTCCCATTCCCCACCACTGGATAACCAAAACTATCATTTTTACTGGAGCTTAAAGTGTACACAGTTACTACTCGGCCACTTCTCCCTATTTCACAGCACCTTTCTGTTTTATCTATTTAATGTCGTACACTGTGTTTATCTCTCTAGCTCTTTCCTATCAAGATGTAAATAGTTCTCAGCCATAACAAACTAACCATTAAGGGAGCCGAGTATCTTTCAAAACAAGAAGTTTTCAGGGAACAAAARAAAAAAAAAAAAGCAACATGCAAAAGAGGTGGCCACAGTTGATTTACTGATCAATCTAATTATAAATATACATACAAAAAATACGAAAAATATATCCCTGAAAGATTATGAAAAAAAACAATATATATACACTCCTGAAAGATCATGAATCTGATAAATTATCATTTTCTGATTATAATTCTTAATTCATAAAAATCCAAGCAATCCAACCACACTCCATTTCTGTTCTATTCCTATATTGAATGGATACCTCAGTTATAGTGCAATCTTATCAGGACAAAGTGTAGTCCTTATATACCTGTACTGCAGTAATATATCATTTAGTACAATATTGTACCTGCACTTGGGGACAAATACACACAGCACTACATGAGAAACAGAAAAGTCTGCTGCTGAGCAAAAGCAAACACACTTTTAATTGACGGATATACAGTATCTAGTTGACGAAAAAAAGAAAAAAAAAARAAARGACTTGTTAGCATTGTGTATATAACAATAAAAATATACATGCCAGCAAAAATTCATGATGGATCAAAACCATCTATCCTCACCCAGGCAGAGCTCAGGTTAGCACAGCTGATAGCTGTCAGTTCGGCAGCCTAAGCCTACTCTTCCTCTATAGCTGATGTCTGCCTCAGGAACCAGGTATTTTCATATCTAATGCTCTTTGAATAAGATACATACACAGAATCACATCTAAGAGCTTTTCAAGCCAAAAGAAACAGCCACAGAAGATGTAGTTCAAGGTATGCAATGCTTTCAAAAGTTCTTTCTCAAATGTTTTATTTCTTCTCGCCTTTTACGAAGCGAGAGACCTTCAGCTGAGACCAGATTTTGGACTTGTAACTACCCTTTTAAATCCTACATGCTTTCACTGCTTTCCCTTATAGCTGTTTCCCTTCTACAGGAATGGACAGTGACCTAACTTCACAAATACATTCCCTTTCCAAACTAAAAAAAATCTATTACCAAAACAGATTAATATATGCAATTTCAAATAACAAATTGCCAATAAAAGCAGACAATGTAACACATAGAAATCCACTTTTTATAAACCCTTCCCCACAACACTAGGTGGACCTGACACACAACCATACAGACTCTGTCAATCCCAATAACACATATACTGCCTTGTTATGTCAGTTCAGAGCCTAAATTTGTTCTGGTTCAGGAAATCATCCTTATGGGGTCTTCCTTTTGGCAGATCCACATTCTACCTAAGGTACTAGAAAGGAATCACACAATCACAGAATGGCTGAGGTTGGAAGGGACCTCTAGAGATCATCTAATCCAACACCCTGCTCCAGCAGGCACACCCAGAGCACGGGGCACAGGGCGACATCCAGGCGGGTTTGGAAGATCTCCAGAGAAGAAGACTCCACAGCCTCCCTGGGCAGCCTGTGCCAGGGCTCTGTCACCCTAACAGTGAAGAAGTTTTTCCTCACATAAATATGGAACTTCCTGTGTTTCAATTTATACCTATGAGCCCTTGTCCTGTCACTGGCCACCACTGAGAAGAGCTTGGCCCCATCTTGCCTACATTCACCTTTCAGGTATTTATACATATTGATCAGATCTCCTCTCATCTTCTCCAGAAAAAACAGGCCCAACTCGCTTAGTCTCTCCTCTTAAGATAGATGGTTCAGTCCCTTCATCATCTTTGCTCTACTCTGGACCCTCTCCAGTAGTTCCATGTCCCTCTTGTCCTGGGGAGCCCAGAACTGCCCCCAATACTCCAGGTGCGGCCTCACCAGAGCTGAGTAGAGGGGCAGGATCCCCTCCCTTGACCTGCTGGTAACACTCCTCCTGATGCAGCCAGGATCCCACTGGCCTTCTTGGCCACGAGGGCACACTGATGGCTCATGGGTAACTTGGTGTCAACCAGGACTCCAAAATGTCTCTCCATGGAGCTGCTCTCCAGCAGGTCAACCCCTAATCTGTCCTGGTGCCTGGGCTTATTCCTCCCCAGGTGCAGGACCCTGCACTTGTCCTTGTTGAACCTCATGAGGTTCCTCTCTGCCCATCTCTCCAGCCTGCCCAGGTCCCTCTGAATGGCAGCACAGCCCTCCGGAGCGTCGGCCACTCCACCCAGCTTGGTGTCTTCCACAAACTTGCTCAGGATGCACTCAGTGCCCTCGTCCAAGTCACTGATGAAAAGTTGCACAGCACCAGGCCCAGGACTGACCCCTGACAGACACCACTGGCCACAGGCCTCCAACTGGACTCAGCCCCATTCATCACTACTCTCTGAGCTGAGAAGGGGAGAAGATTTCTTATGAAACAATTAAACTGAATTGAACAAACTGTTCCATTGAAAATAAAACAATTTCTAAACGGAACAAAAGTGTAATGGAGAAATACTCTGAAAATGTCTTCCCAATGCAATATAAATGCTGCTTTTATCAGTTTAGTTCATAATCTGCTTCTTCATGAGAGAGTGAGTTGAGGCCTATCCCTCCTTTTCCATACATACCCATTGCCCTTACTTGGACGTCTATTAAAAATAAAGGAAAATACTCTATGCATCTCTTCTGAATCTCTATAACAGATCAGAGTTTCTGTAAACAGAATACTTTGCTATGTCATATCTAGCAGAAAAGTAACATTCTGTATTGACAATCACATATAGAAGTATGGGGRAACTGAGAGAGTACTCTAATAATCCCTGCTTGCCTGACTCTCAGGCAAAGCTTTCTGGAAGAGTTGAAGAGTCACCTGAAACAGCTTCCTTCCTCATTAAACAGGCTTACAAACATTTCTATGTCCTTCCACCTTAGTACTACTTCCAAAACATGATGAGAAGCAGATGATTAAACATTTGCATAAACAGAATGGTGTTTGGGGCCTGATACACTGTGTTTGTTGGTTAAGTTGGTTAAGTCACCTAAGCTAAGTACCAGCAACATTTTCATCCACATGACCATCCCTTCTTGTAGGCAAATAATAGAACTAATTTTCATACTCTTCTATATCCCATTTCTATGCCAGTATTCTGCTGTTTTCCTTGAAATCTAGTCCCTGCAGGCTAGCATGACTAGCATACATGATGTACAGAAAGCCTAGTGATTTTTGCTATGCAGCAGAAAGCAGGAAATACTCAGGATCAGCAAGTGCTGTTTTCCTGCCTCATCTCCATCTCTACTGGTAGACAGACGCTTAAATTGTTATGCTTATACGTTTAAATTCCTTTGTTTCTACTATCACAAGCTGCTTGGTTTCTTCCACTTCACACAGATTGCATTTAAAAACTTTCCATACAGGCCTCATTTCCCCTGCAGTCTTTGCCCATGGTTCTATTTAAAGAGACTCGAATTTTCAAGTCTTTCTCTGCTCAAAACACTTTTCACTTCACACATTTGAACTCCTTTTGCATTGAAGTAACTTGGGTCAGGCATTTTCAGTCTGTGCTCGAGACATAACCTTTAAAGGCTACTTGAAAACTGAGAGTAACTATGAAGAGCAGAACAGTTTTCTGTAGTCCAAAACGGAATGTAGAGGAGATTTAGTGGTCTGACCATAAAAATTTCAAATATCACAACTAAGCAGAATTTAAGTATTCTTACAGAGTTTAAGATGACTACCAGATAACTAAAAGAAACAGAATATGCAATTACACAACGTATAATCATGTGTAAAGTGAACTAGAAATGCTTATATGAAAGGAAATAAGCCACCAAACTGTTTCATGTTTTTGGTATATACTATGACCACAAATACATAACTTCTTCCCCAATCAACAATATCATATATTTAAAATTGCATTTAAAACTGATTCAGATTCAAACCCACCATGACAGACTGACTGCTCATCACTGATTCTGTACCCTGTTGTTCTCTCCCACTTCCCTCCCTTTTCAGAAAAAAACACCATTTTGATTATTGGTGATTTGAACATTTCTTGAGAAATTTGAGATCTCTATAAATAATACTATTACTGTCATTGCATTTCTAAAGTAGCTATCATAATGCCGTTTTCTTTACTCATTTTAGAGGTTTTATATAATATGATCAAATTTGTGACTGACTACATGTACACATTTTTCATTCTTGTACTATTCACCTTTTTCACTACTGCTTTTTCAATAAAAATGCTATCTTTTTAAAAACTTTGTTTCTATGCAATGCTTTGTAAACCACTTAATCATCTCAACTAATTAAAAGAGTTCTGAAATCCCTTTCATTATGTTACAATGGCCTCGCAACTGGTATGAAACAACAATTTATCTTCTGCACTTAGCTGGTTAAATTAACTAGTTAAATTAACATGACATAAATGAAAAAGTAGCCAGGATTCAAGAAATGGTGAGGGAAGATCTCAAAGAGATAAAAAAAAAAAAAAAAAAATTATATAAAAGTGCATCACTGCACCCTACTGGATAAAATTAAAATGCTTCCTGGTATTACTGAGTCTTACAAAAAACCTATTCACTTCAGGTCATCCCTGCTATTCTACCAAAATCTCTAGAGACCACCAGGCACGATGTTAAAATTCTGATTTCCTGAAGGGCCACAAGAATATAAAACTGACTGTTTACTAAATGAACTTGCAACCTATGCTCTATGCACAAAAAGAATGTTTACAATACTAGTATAATTCACGCTCAGAGGGTAATCAGCTTTAGATGCAAAGGACTTGAGATGAAATGTTAAATCTATGCAATTGTAAATCCATGTCATACCAGTTGGCACCAAATAGTACAGTGATAAATTACTCTGGAAATAAGGACATTTTTTTCCTCCCCCCAAAATTAAATTCCATTACATGTATAGAGAAGGACAGCCTAAGCACACTGCATAGTACTCCTTATTTATTCCTTGTGTTTTTTAAAAAAGGCTGAAACATGTGACAAATAGCCTAACTAGGACTTACCTTCCTGTAGTACAGAGAGATCGATGGACAAGATTATAATTTCCTTCCAGCCTTTCCTACTTACCATTAGTCTAAGATTTGGTTATTTTAGAGAACTTGCTAAGGTGTGTTACAGAGGCAGTAGGGAAACTGGAATGTTCCAGCAAAGATCAGAAATGGGACACAAACTAACCAGACAATGAATTACATATATCAACATATTTACTGTATTACAGCTATCCTTTTGATGGTTAGAATTCAGGAAATCAGACTCACCATGCAAAGACAAAGTTCAGGGACTCTGCCCTCTTCTCTGTCCCCCTTACTTCAGTTACCATTTTGCAATCCGTTTCTCCCCGTACTGCTGCAGGTTTCTCAGGTCACAGCCACATGAGTTTCTTCTGCTAATGCTGCCACCTACCAGATTTACTTTTCTGTTGCAGCAGAAGGGCATACAGAAGAAGATCTTGTTCAGCAGTCACATAAGCATCATCCTTTGTCTAAGATGACATGCCTTATTCAAGTCGTACAATGTTTCCCCACACACTATGCAAAGCACTGGGCACAACTGAGATCAATACTTAGCTTTGAAAGCCATTCCAGGAAAGGAGCAGGAACATGATCTGTAAAACCATCTTTCAGCCAATATAAAAGACGATTAAGACAATAATTTCTGCATATTGCAGTAAATTTTCATCCACTTTCCCCACAAAAGCTTGTCTGCAGGCACTGCAGAGGACTAGTATTTTTCTCCCTTCAGTAAAATTTTGAGGTAACATATATGAAAACAGATGTAAGATACAAAACTGAGTTCATTAATCTGTTCTCTGCACCCAAGGAAAATAAATTCCTTTTTGAAATGTTACTAAACACCCACAAATCTCCCCCCCGCAAAAGACACCCAACCACATGCCTGAAAATGTTACACCTGTGTCCTATAGCAGCAGATGTACAAATATATACAGAAATAAAGGTATAGGCCTGCCCAGTGCTGAGACGAAAGAAGTGGGTGTGTCTGAAAGGAAAAAGCGTTGGAAATGTAAGTTTAACAGGTCTGTAAAATTATCTTGCAAATAAAGATACAAATTATACACTCAATTATACTAGTGAAACTTAAATCACCCTTTCGTGAACTTTCATAGAGTGATTCCATGTTTACCTTGGTGTAATTGAGAGCAAAATTTGACTCTAAAATCCGTCCCACTCTTAATTTGCATTTTATGGCATTGCTGGCAAACTTGTTGCATTCCAGGAAAAATATTTTTTGATTTTTGGTTAACATACACAGAAAAAAATCTGAAATCTCAATCTAAAAAAATAGTACTTTACAGGTGTATTGAGAAAGAAAGTGCTGCAGAACGTGAAACTCTGTGTGAAGCTTCATATTCTTCTTTATTTGAAAGACATTCCAATATTTTGATATTTACCTCTGTTTGCCTTAGATACTTTGTGCAAAACAGAGTTTCTCCTCCTTAAAGGAAGTAGAAAACGTAAGCACCCAATACCTTTTAAATGATCTGAAATAAAGGGAGGGAAGTACTAGAGAAGGTCRAAGTATGTATTTAGATACTGCAGTGACCAACATAAAACATCCCCTTAAAGGTCCAATCAGCCACAGAGCTGTTTTCTTTAGCACAAATATTCTCATATCTGTTCTCCTAAAGGATCCTCCTATACCAAATGTTATTAAAGTCAGCTTTGGTGCCAATTTTTCATACTTGCCAGCTCCTAATAGATGCAATTAAATTTTGTGTTCACTTTGCAACTGGAAGTATCAGATCTTCCAAAAAYGTACTCTACAATAGCATACGAAAAGCAAAGTGAATTTAAAAATTACAATGAAGAGATTGAAACAATGTATTGGAAAATTATGTCTAATGTATCTGCATCAGCTGCCTTTTAATCTACTCTCACTGTTGTTTCAACTTAGCAAAGGACAGTGAGAGATTTCTTAAAAGGTCAACATGTATAAAGATGGGAAATAAGGAAAAGCAGGATTTCTTTTTCCTAAACATGTTAAAGAAATCACTTGAGAAATTTCACCAGAATGAAGTGATGTGGAAAACAGAAAGCAAGGAAAGCAGACAAGTTAGTAAACTTATTAAGATTACTGTAAGATCAGAAAAGAGTCCATTTACCTGACAACAGGTCGGTCTCAGATGTCACCAAACTGCTGCGTTTACCATTTTACCCGCTTGCATTACTGGGGGGAAAAGTTTAGGAAGGAACATTCTCAAGGACTTTTCATAAGTTCTCTCTCTCGCCATCAGAAAGGGGAGAAGGGAAGGTTTTCTCTGGATTGTTTACTTTTTGGCTCCTGAAAAGTTTTGCAAAGAACAGTGAGAAAGTGGGAACGGTTAGAACACGTTTCTGTTAAAAAAAAAAAAAAAAAAGAAAAAGAAAAGAAAAGAAAAAAAAGGAGAGAAGTCACACAAAATAGGGCATTAACAATACCCACCCAAAATCCACGCATCAAATTTGTGACATCAGTTTAAACAAATAAACAAAACTTTCCAACTCAAAGCAGAAATACAAGAGGCCTTGAATTTCCGACAGCAGCAGGCCAAACTCCTGTCAGAGTACTCAGAAAGTCATCCTCAAAGGTTAGGACACTTAAAGAAACAAACCAAAGGAAATGGTAGCAAATACCTAGTTACAAACCCTGCAGTGTTACAGTTTAAAACAATTCCTAGAACAGTGAAAATGAAAATCAAAAACAAAGGAAACATCAACAGCTAAAAAATAAAAATAAARAAGAACAGTAGCAACAGAGGTTACCTGTCCGAGCACCTACAATTCCATAGAGAGGAGTGGGTCGTTTGTCTCACACCAGCCATAAAGCCCATAAACCTTCTCAAAAAGAGTGAGCCATGAGAAAGATATTGTACATGCAATTCGCTTTCACAAAGTCTCTCTAAGCCCTTACATATTTAAGGGAAAGTTTTTTTGCAATTCGGGGCAGAAACAATTTGCCCAACATCACTGGTTCCATCTGTAGGATTTTAGAGTCCAGTATAACATCTGAAGAAGCGTCTCCTTTGTGTCTGACCCATACACAAGTTCCAGAGGTTATTTCCTGAGTATCACACAGGAAATACAGTATGTGAATTGAAGAAAACCCTCCAAGAGTAATCATTAGCTCAGGAAAAATATTATTGTCCACATATGCACCAAACGCTGGCCTTCCATTTTGTTAAGGATGAGATGCTGCAGCATTCCAAGAAAAGACTTTATAATACATTAAAGTATTAAATACAGAGCTTAAGATACAATATATACATTGATACAGTAAGACTTTAAATTGTAAACATATTAAGTTGAACAAAAGAGAATCTCCACTGTTACAAACACCAATATTCCATCAGACTTAAGTTTAAGAAGCTTATTTCTATAAAGCTCCCAAATGGCTCTCTCAAATATTGAAAAGTACAAAAATAGTTTTATCAGCAGCAGCTATGTTAGCACTATTTTAATCCAGTGTGTGTGACAACTACTTTTTCAATATAAGCTTCCAAATCCTAATACACAGTGTAAGTGTATGAAAGTATAGCAAGTGTTCTTCAGCATATGGAACTAAAGGAAACATGGCACATAAAGCTGATGTCTGTAAAGTTCATATTCAGTGGGAAACATTTTCTAGTTACCACAGCATTTTTGTTTTCTTTGTTTTCCTTCCCCCTGCCCCCCACCAAGGTCAGGGTAAGCAACTTTTTCCCCAACACAACCTCTGCACGTCTCACTATTTCAGGAGCAATGAATAAGGGAGTAAATACACTAACTAGTGTGTCTGTATCAATGAATCCCCAAGCAAGGTTTTCCTAAGCATTCCTCACACCTAATACCCAGAAGCACATGAGCGATATTTCAAAGCCTTTCTCTTCCTTCCTGACCCCTACACATACTCTTCTCCAAACTAGGAAACACCATCCACACATGAGCATCTGAAGACAAGGGAGCCCAACTCTTTAAGTCCTTCAATCCACTGTTCACCCTTCAAAACAGTCTATGTGTACGTATTGTTTGGGAAATATTAGTATCCTAATATATAAGTAGGGCATTCTGAAAGGGTGTCAGAATTTTAAAGCTCCTGCCTGCGACAGCACTTCTCCACAAAATGACAAGGGAACTTGAAAAACAGTCCAGCAGGTTCAGTCACCAGCTCCTTCCTCTAAAAGATGTTTCCTGGGATAGAAATACAGATTTTCTACAGTACTAACTAGCGTAACTTTACTTCCTGCTGTTATTCCACGTCTGCTATAACTGAAGAGAAGGATAACCCTACCGGGGTATCAAGGAGTAGAGCAACTATCAGGTTTAAAATAAAATAGTTTAAAAAAAGAGTGTAATAGAAGAGCCTCTAAAGAGGCAGCTTACTCTCAGTGACTACAAACCTAGGCTGCTTTCATGTTGTGTGTTTTCAGGTCTTCACACAGGCTAGAGACCTGTGTAATTTTCTGCTACAGCATGTGCACTTGGAAGGCTCAGGGAGTAAAGCATTCAAAATACTCTTGACTGCTGAAGCTCCTTTGRTTGCTGGACTTGCTGGTCCACTTCACCTGCTTAACACCAACAGCCAACCTTTCACTTGATTTTAATAATAATATTTAATTCTACAAAAAAAAGTCATTTTATTACATTCCTTTTAAAATAAAGAAAAAAACAAACTGTACACAGAAGCATGATCAAACCTCCATGAAAGCAGGTTAATACTGTCCTGTTTATTGCCTCTTGAAGACTCTCTGCATAGTGTCCGTGAATTGTGTTTAAGGTCCAAGTGACGACAAAAGAGCAGAGCAGCAGAGTGTGAGGAGGGGCCACGGAGGTGGGCAGGGCCTCACTGGGTACATGGGACACGCTCCCGTAAAGGATCCAGATCACAGCAGCATTGCACACAGACAACACCCCTTCAAACAAACCCTATTTTCACAAGATTATTTTTCAGCTGTAGACATCTTTGTTTTTTTTTTTTTTTTTTTAAAGAGGCTTGTATTTATATATATATATATCTATATATATAGTTTTAGGGCTTTATGAACCCAAAATATGGGAAAAGAATGAGAAGGGGTGAGGAGGAAGAGGAGGGGAAAATACAGCAAATTAAAAAYGGACTCTTATCTCCGTTTTGGATTTCTGTTTTCCAAAACAAATCAAGCTAATGAGAAAATGTGCAGCCAGATGGACTGATGAAAATCAGGCAGTCTGGAAAAAAATACAGGAGCTAAACAACAAACCTATAAAGAAACAGAGCAAGCATACCCACAAGAACACACACAGGTGTGCACACACACACACCACAAACACACATAAGGGTCCAGAATCATTTTTTTAATTGCTTGTGGACCTAGATTATAGATATATATATTTCTTTTTATTCTGGCCAACTTTTTTTTTTTTTCTCTCTCTCTCTCCAATCTGCTCCATGTTTCCCAAAGCTAAGAAATGAGTATTTCTCCCAAGGATATACTCTTTGGATTTCTGCCAACATCAGCTTTTTAAATATTTTCATTGGGGAAAACATAAGCTTAGTAATATTGGCATTGCATGAACTGCAGCTTTATCCGAAGTATCTCTAGGTGTCTAATCGCTTCCAACCACTTATCCCTCCTCCACACCCTACCACATTTCCCTCCCAAAAGCAAGAAACAAAAACAAAGCAAACAAAAAAAAATGTACAGGCTTAAAGTCAGTGTTTTGTTACCAAACAGTCTGCAGTGTTTTCACTTTGGCCACTGTTAAAGATGCAGGCTTAGAGAAGTGAGTGTTGGACTAGCATGTATTAAAAAAAGAAACATTAACAGAGCAGATCTCTCTCAAAAAGATTAAAACACTAACAAATACAAGTCAATGCACATTTGTTTCAAACTAGTGTAATTCTTTTTCACATTGGATTAAACATTATTTTGTACACCAAACATTACAGTGCTGTTTATCTTCTCCAATCATGCAAAAAAAAAAAAAAAAAAGAAAAAAAAAGTCAAAATGTGCCACTTCCATCACAAACGGAATATGACCAATTCCCCTACATAACTTCCAAAGTCAGGATTTGAAATGAGAAAAACACAAATATTAAAATTCCTCCATCAAAAGCCTTATCAACAAAATACGGACACAAAGCTTCCAACTGATACCAAGATTGCAGAAGTTACAAATTGTACTGAAAGCCGAAGTACTGCAGAGCTGCCACTTCTCTCTGCCTCACGATTTGTGGGGCCATATCCCAGAAAGCCAAAAAAGGGATGACTCCAGAAGTTGTCTTTTGAATGATGCTGAACTTGCATCTCCCACTTACTACAGTGAGACTAGGGGTCCAGAACCTCAAAACAACTGGTATTGAGCACTTTGAACTCTTTCTGAAATTAGGAGGCACTCAACAACTTACAGGATCAAGCCTTGAAGAGATAGAGAGGCTTAAATAGTGCCTTAATTCACAGAATTTTCTAGACAGCTGCCACAGAGCTTTCTAAAAATCTTGTGGGAATCATACCTCAATGCTTTCCTGTGAATGCACATGCACTGCACTGTATTTGGGGGCCAAAGCAGCTTCAAAATAAAATTCCCATTCAGGTTATGAACAGAGCATCTCCAATAAAAAAAAATACTGATGCTGAAGAATTAGAACAATTTTATACAAAACAATAAAGTAGGGGCAGTCACAGAATACATGCCTTTTAATCTTGCTCCCTTGATTGAAAGCCCCCCCCCCCTCCATTTCTCTGAGCTTCACTGATAAACAGCATTGCAAGTTGGTTAAAAAAGTAAAAATTAAAAAAAAAATATTAAAAATAAAAATAAAAATAAAAATAAAAAAAAGATTTACAAGAGGGAGTTTTGTCGGTCGCCTATTTACATGTGGCATCACTCCACGAGCAGTTTGATCTCATTGGCTAATAGCTGGTTCATGTTGAACAGAGCCCCCGGGAGCTTGGTGAGCAACTCTCTCTCCGTGGTCTCAGGGTCGCTGTCGACAGAGCTGGAGCTAGCACTCATATTGTCGACAGCGGCACTAGCCGGAGGGCCCAGCTCTGGCTCGCTAGTCTCGCTCGCCGTGGACACCACGGAGAGCAGGGACATGCGCCGCGTCAAGCGGCCGGGGGCCAGCAGGGAAGCGGCATAGTCCGCTATGATACCAGCTACATCTAAATTACAAGCCTTGTCAAAGGCAATGAAACCTACGTTCGCATTGGCCTCGCAGACGTAGAACGAACCGTCGTCCTTCATCAGCAGGTCGATGCCGCACACGTCCATCCCCAAGATGTTTGACACCTGCACTGCCAACTGTTTGCCTTGCTCGCTCAGGGAGCACATCATACCTACACCACCTGAAAAAAAAAGTAAAAAGTAATAATAATAAAAAACCCCATCTCACTCAGGTGAACTTGTTCCTGAGCGGCTGGTGCTTTTTGGTTGTTAAGACCCAAAGGAATCCAGAGATCAGCAAACATACTGCAAATGACTCAGAAAGGGACTGACACGGACTGCCAATATCTTTGTCTAACCAAAATTCTACCACACACGAACACATTTTATCCTATACCTGCTCATGGCCAGCACAGCTTAAGTTAAGTTGCCAGCCAAGCAAGCCTCGTCTCTTCCTGCCCTGAGAAAACTCTCTCTCCTACACTCAAGGCTATTGAGAAACTCAGTTCTGAGGATACTACCATTATACAGTGCCCCTCTCACTTAACCTGCATTCCCATTTTTTTTTCTCTGCAAACCTCCTACAATACAGACCACAAATACAAAATATATTCCGCATCTTATTTCAGTTAGGTCTGTCATTTCAGTCCCACCRCATTCATGAGTTCTGATTAGAACCACAAGTAATATTTTCTGTACCAAGCGAGCAGTTACTTTGCATCCTCCCATCTGTCGAGCAGCGGAGCATGGTGCCCACCACGCGGCCTCCGACCACGATCACACGAACATCCTTGCCGTGGGACTCCTTAACGTATTTTTGAAATAAATAAGGGGCATCGTGGCGGATCAAGTGGCTCAGGTCTGCCAAATGGTGCTTATCTCGGGCCAGGAACACAGCTTTGCCTGGAAGAAGAGAAAACGTTGTGGGATTGGAAGAACCTGCCGGTTTGAGCTGTGTATCCTATTCAGCCCAAGTGAAAAACTCTGAATTTTCAGAGGCCTCATCTGTAGTTTACACCTATTTGCACATTCCTCAATTGAGACCAGTGTACCACTATTTCAGTGCTTCTCAGTGTTCAAGTACTGAAATTGTTGAAGAGCCAGTAAGTATTAAAATACAAATTTGGCTCTTGGATATAGGAAGTTACTTGTAATTTCAACCTGTGAAAGGTCCCTAAWGAAAGAAAAACAAATTCTAAAAGAGCAGCAGAAATTTAATCACACAGTCTATTCATCCCAGACTGGGAACCATAGATACTTAAGCTACCAGTGTGTCACTACAAAACTGCTTCATTATTTGGAAATGAATGAGAGCAGTTCTTCCCAACACCAGCAACAGTTCACAATTCTAGATGAGGCTACACAAAGAGATCCCAAAGTATCTGGTGTGAGATAAATTCAGTTGAATATTCCACTAAACACATACATAAATGAATGGAATGCACTTCAGCTTAAAACAAACAAACAAAAACAAAACAAAAAACCTACAACTTTTAGAAATCACTGACTTTTAAGCGAGCAAACATCTCAGGGACTTCTTGGGTTTAACCTTAAACCTGTCGCTTTGATTCTCCACTAAAGATTTCTTTCCTGCCCATTTTCAATTTTGTTAGTAATGAAGAAAAGGCATTTCTGAAACAGACTCTACCACTCTCCACCTCTTCTGTAATCTCACACCAAAGCACTTGTTTCCTTCTTTAGTTCAATTGCTTTTCCCTTTTGTTAAGGACTCTTAAGAAAAGAAACGTGTCATTAAATTTATGTTTTGCAATACATCTGCAACAAATTTCTGCGGCAGAATTGTCACTAAATTGTGCTGTAATGTTAACAGAGACAGCTTATCAACTGATTTTCATGTTAGCTTAGCTAGGGGAACAKAAATGCAACAGCAGCAGAATTAAGAGAAAGAACGTGCCAGGAGGAATTCCAAGAGGTGCTCCGAACTTGAGCAGGCTCTACTCTGTCAGGATTTAAGGTCTGCAGAATATACAAACAAAAAAACACCTGCTTGAGGAACATACTGTTTCTTACAAAAAAAAAAAAAAAAAAAAAAAAAAAGGTTTTTTTTACTCTATGCCTGACACAACTTTGGCCATCATATAAGCACTTAATGATACATGCCCTTATTAATACTGTATTCCTAAAATGAGGATGGGAAGAATATCCCATGAATCGCCTTTTATAAGAGCTACTTATTTCTTGGAATTATGTAGCACCATGACATCTTGGTAGAAATATAAGACCAGCACACTTTCAACAGCAGTAGACTACACATTAAAATAGGCTAAAACAGCACGTCTTCTTTCAGCAGGCAACACCTACAACCATGATTGCTCCATTTTTTTAAATACCTTTTGCAAATACCTGTGCTGTACATCTGTAAAGGTTTCCCCAACTGTCTTTATGCACATGGTTATGTATTGTGCAAAAATTTCAAAAGGGAGTAAAAAGGCTTTAAAGCACATCTTGTAAACAGAGATTTGCATGATTTGGGGCAAAAAAAAAAAGGAGAAGAAAACCAAAAGCTGCAAAATATTTACTCATTTATCAGGTTATCTCATTCAGTTTGCTGCACAATTAAATTCCAACCTAATCTTGTAGCTCCACAAGTACTTCAAGAACATTTAAACACATATTACTTCCAAAAGAGCTGGGCTTGATCTTCATCTGCCACAGTCTCTCTCACTCTTCCATTACACCAGCACATGGATTTGTAGAAGTAAATGACAATTCAACCAGGAAATTAATCAAGTTTACATTAACTGTATTAGATTTAGTCTAGATCAGTTCATGAATCTATTTACTAGATGGCTCCCAAGACACTTGTACCAGCAGAAGAGAAGGGACAGCACAGAGTAGGAACAGGCAGACAAAGACAGTGAAAAAGGCAGAAATGCTCCTTTTAGGTGCTGGTTTATGTGCTCTTGGAACTTCTGTTTAAGACTCTTTTAACCGAAAGCATTAATTAAATCAGTTTTATAGCAAACTGAATCAGGTATGACCCTCTGTGCAACTAACATCTGAAACTGATTTTAAACCTGGTTTTGTTTAGTAGATCACTCTCTAACACTAAAATAAATTAATAAAATATTTTACATTCAACACTGAAATGAAAACTAGCATTAGAAAAATTTCATCTGAAGTCACTTCATTATTACCAACAATGTCAGAGATTTTTCTGAAAAACAGTGATCCAGTTTGTCTATATTTAGGATTCTGATTTAAATAAATTCTCAAATACTTTTTATTAAAGTCAGGTAGAAAGAAAAAGCAAATAAAGATGCGCTAAATTGAGTTTTCACTCKTATGTCTATTTAGAAACGTCCCTAAAATCCACAGGGGCTCATCCCTACATCCCATTATTCCAGTTCAGATCTCTCCTCACAGAGCCACCAACGCTCTGTTATTTTGAATCTCTACTCCCCTGCTTTTGCAAGACCCTTTCACTGAGTTCCTAGGTTCTATTAAAATTGCCTCCCAGTGTTGCAGCCTATTCAATACCTGGAAGTAGCAGTCTGGTAGAACAYACCATGTGGCAGACATACAGGAAAGCCCCACACCTAACAGCAGACCTTCTTAACTCTTTCTCCTTGGCATCTTCACATCTCCAGAGTGCTGCTCACAAGCATATGCACCTTGCTCTCCCCCCTGACTTCACACCCACCTCGGTGACCCCGTGTGTTCTTCACCACCATAGGAAACTCCAGCACTTCCGCCTCATCAATCATTTTGGCAAAATTCTCATGACCACCTGGCAAAAAGAAAACCAACAACATTATGTGCCAACAATCTGTTGTGGCCAAACTGGGGGTGTGATTGCCACATATTCCTCCCACCTTTCCTTCTTCTTGCAGAAGAAGCTAGCAGTTAAGAGGAATTTGGTCATGGAGCACAGTCAGACTTTGAAGGTATTTGTGATCTGTAGAGTATTATTTCTTATTTCTTTAGGAAAGGAAGACACAAATTGACAAAGTTCTCTTGACCACAACCTCAAAAGGTTCAATCCAATTTTCCAAATTCAAATGCCCCAGTTCTATTATCATCCACCATATTCCAGTTTATTCCTTTTATCAACTCCTACCTTTGCAAAGGTAGCAAAAAAGTAGCATGAGCTACTACCATCTGAACTACTAACCAGGAAGGCAACATAGGAAACTAAGACAAGATATAACCGAGGAAGCTGCAACAACACAAATCTTGTTACTCCACTTTCCAAGGCTTAAAGGTTTCCTGTAATTCATTCTCCCTCTGAACTAGTACTTCTGTCTCTGTCAGAATGCAGAAGGCACTTTCTCTAAGTGCCTTAGAGAAAGCAGCTCTTCATCACCATTCACTTGACTATGATTGTTTTCTAAAGGTTCTCTGAGGACAGTTCAACGCATAAAGGACTTGAAGTATGAGCAATAAGGAAGAGAAAGCCAAGGGAGAAAGGAGTGAGATTCCTCTAAATTATATGCAGTAAAACACAGAAATCAAGCCATGACACTGGTCAGAAAGCCAACAAGCATCTACCTCTACCCTGTCATGGATTTTAAAGCTAAAGTAATGTGGAGTTTCAGTACATCCCATTTTTCTTGACAAAGTGAGTTCACAAACAGGAAGGGGACAAAGGTTAAAATATTTAAAGATTTAATTCTCTTTCCCCACACAATTAAAAGCCCTTCCCTTCTCAAAGAACTAGCGCCGCCTTATTTCTAAAGAAAGCATATGTTACTTGTCAAATTAATTTTCATAGTAATTCATGGAAATATTTTATCCATAAAGCATGTTTCAGTCAGGTTCCCATTACAGAATCATAGAGCTGCAAGTGTGTAAAGGGAATGAAATCATATTTCCCCAATAAGGAATGGAAGGATGATAGGTATCTTCAGTTCTCTAATATATTGTGATTATAACACATAAAGCTGAAGGGCAGAACAGATGAATGATTCCTCTAACACTGTGTTAGAGACTAGATAGTAATTATAATTGTTTCTTATTCATGCCTTAGAACTAACTTTTCTAGAAGGAAATTTTATTCCAAATTGCAAACAATTGCTAGTAGTTATGAGAGCCTGTACTCTTTGTATCCTTTTGTAGTAACTAATTTATCTGCAGATATTTTTATTCATTTAATAATTTGATCTACTTTCAGATTTTACTGAAGTCTGGTATTTAATAGTGCACTAGGAAATCTAGTTCCCCAAGTTCTTGTCTTGTTGGTTCAGGTAACTGGAAGAGCGGTTTATTTAAAGAGTTCAAAGAGTGTCAGTACCAGCAAAAAGCAGTTCCTGAGAGGCTCAGGTACATTTTACAGCACTCTTCCCAAAGCATCACAGCTAATCAACAAAACCAAAAAACAGAACTTGAGCGTCCTCACTCAAGTTTAATTTCTGTTCTCTGGATACTAAACACTGCCCTAACACTAGACTCATATATTCTGTATCGCAAAAGCATGAATTATTGTAGAGAACCATACCATGCTTCCGATGCAAAGCCTTACCATATGAGAATGTGTCTGGAAGAGGCACGCCATGACCAGCAAGCTCTTGGAAAGTCCAGAACTTGTTGACACAGTTGAGGATGGCTTGGGGGCGATTCATCAGCCGGCAGCCCATCTTCTCTAGGTGGCGAAGGACTGTGATGTCGCTGTCACTCTGGACCCAGGGCGTTGGCACACGCACAACCACCACCTGTGGGTAAGCAGTAACAAGCTCCCCATTCACCCGGAGACCTACAAAAGGAAGGGAAAACCATGCCAATCAACTACAGGATTTTCAGAACAAGGAAAACACGCAAAGAAATACTGTGCTGTATGGCATCATAAGAGAGATACTGGACTTCAACAGCAACACTTGAAGCAACACATAATTCTGGCTAAAAATTTGTCTTATTAGTTGCACTGGTTCATAGATGTTACACTTAAGCTACGTAAAACCACAGCTAGGCAAAGAACATATCCTATAAAGGTGCACAATTCTGAACTCCTTTCCAGGGGAAGGATTGCCTTTAGCCTGAGGCAGCATCCTTTGAGTGCCAGCTGCTCACTACATTCRCTTTGGCAACAGCAGCAGCTCAGGAAGTTCATGCCTCTCACCACCGGCTCTTGCCCATGTGCCATAGTTCATAGCCGTCTCTTCCCAATCATACCAGTCGAATTGTTTGTGGAATCACACTGCATTCTATATTGCAGAAATGACTGCAACTAGATATAACCTTTAAAAAAAGGAGCAATATTTGTTTTTAAACACATATGATTATAACAATCTGATTTGTATTAAATAGTAAGTATCCAGAAATAATTTTATCAGAACAACTGAGAGGGCAGCATCCTGTGACACAGAAGAAAGAATAAAAAGAAAAAAATAGGTTTGCTACGAAGGCAATGCATTACTTAACCATGACCTGCATTCTATCAGTGTATGGTTCTGAAAAAACAGAGATGGCAAAAAACTCCAAAACTATAAGGAGGAGAGTAGCACAGGACTATCTGGGAAGGCATAAAGCTGCAGGAAGACAGTGTAGCCAYTGAAGATGGGAACAGACAAGTATCTGAAATGCACTGACCTGCCTCATCATATTCAAGAAACTGTTGACTGCAGTGCAAAATAAGCAGCTCTACTGGTGTCAGCGCCCACCGTGCTGAAGAGGAGAAGGAAGGTGGCTGACAAATCACAGTGCCTCTGGATTTCTGTGCCTTGGAAATTCCAGCTATGACTCCCCAGATAAAGCCAAAAGTAATCACCTGATTATCTCTGTTCCAAAGAACTCGGTTTTAAATGCCGACTTGCAGCTACTCAACCTGCAGACATGCAGTCAGGGAGGTGTATTTTCCTCTTAGCTGCATTTCACTTCAATTGATCAGGAAGGGGGGGCTCTCTGTACTTCCTGTTTTCTCCTGCCACCCAGGACATATCTCAGCCCTTGCCTTTAATACAACAGGGCAACTCCTTAAATTTCCAAATAAGAGCTAAAATGTGTGTCCCAGCTTTCATGAGGTCATAGAACCACTCTCTAAAAGTCCAAAGCAGCCATATGCAATACAATTGCTTTCTCCCATTTCCATTGCCATAACTGTACAGAGAACGAGAAAACATAAGCAGCCAAGTGCTCTGGCTGCCTCTCTCATTAGCACCGAGCAGTGCCGCATTGCAGCTGACATGACTTGTGTGTTTAAGCAAGGATGCTTCACACACAAACACACCCCGCTCTATAGAAGTATCTCAAGCAAGATATAAAGCRTGACGTTACTAAAACCAGAGAAGATTGTATCAGGAAACGGACTACGATCATCTTTAGCTAGTCAAGAGCTTGTAGCAAGCAAATTTTTCTCTCTTACACATATCTTATTTAGTTGTCTGTGCCCCTTTACACTCACTTTTTGCCACCATAATTGCCTATCTGTCCTAATCCACATGCAAGTTGTGTAAAATATATTTTAAAAAGAACTACGTTTTCTACAAAGCCCCAAAACAGCCATTGGACACCTCTGCTGTGAGCCAAGACTATAGAGTTTTCTAATGCACAGTTTCCAGGAGTCTGCTTTGTTACTTTTCTTTAAACGAAGTAGTACCACACGTTGAAGTTTTGTATTTTCGAAATGCTTTGAAAAAGCAAAATGCCATTTTGAAGAGAAATGTGTGCTTCACCTAGACTCCTCCTGAATACCTGGATTACACCTCACTATCACAAGAGAATAAATTCAGCCAGGCCAGCAGCCACCCTGGGATGAGTCAGGAAGTACAACAGCATAACCTGACCTTTTGCTTCAGATCAAAACAGTTTCTCTGGTCTGGATACTATTCTCCCCAAATGATTTTTTTTCCTTTCTTCTCACAGAAGACAGTTTATGAGCAAAGAGGTACTCAACGAAATGCATAATTTGAGTCACCCCTACTGACACACACCATAAAAGCGAGCTGCAGCTTCCCAGCACCACAGTGCTGCAAACAGGAGCTCTGCTACAGTGCAAGTGAGAGCCAGATTCTGCCATTTTCAAAAATCAGCTTGTATTAGGCATACCATCTGTGACTCAGCAGTTAACAGTCAGGCTAATGTTCATTTTTGTTCAATGGAGTGATAAAATAATATTTATTCATTAATGCATACAACTAGCTCCTCCAAATAATTCATTCATGAATACAAAGAGGGAGGGGGGGAAAAAGAGTAATACAGCGTGGTTAAGAGGAAAATCAATGCTTTTCTCGAAGTGGACATGGATTCTCTTGGTAGGAATGGTACCATTCTGACTCTGGAACAAGTAGTCAGGCTCAGTAGCAAGTTCCATTCGTGGCTGCCTGTGCATAAGGAGCTAAGTGCCCTAACAAGGAGAAGAGGGATGCTCAGGTCATATGAAAGTACCTGGACAAATACTAAGTTGGCCAATTCCCTGGCATTTCCAGTGGATGCCTGTGGTATCACAGGCAWAGAAAGAACAGGCAGTTATGGAGTCCTTTTAAATACCCACTATTGAGTGGTTATGCAGTTAGGCAGCCCTTTCCCCTCCAGAACTGAGGGCCAAAAGGAGTTTTCATCACCTCTCTAAAGCTAAGGCCTTTTACTAAATGAACACTCACTGTACCAACGCCCAGGGAAGCTCTTTTTAGCTCATAAAGCATGTGGGCATCCTTTGGTCCYATGAGAAAGCAGACTCCTGGAATCTGAACACCACAATAGAAACATACATATATAATACATATATAATATATACATATATATATACACACACACACACGAAATCAAACACCTGTGCAGAACCTGTTCTTTCAACTTTCTTTGTTCTTCCTCCACAAGATCAAGAGTCTTTTAAAATGGAATCTGGCAGACTCTTATCATTACGTAGTAATTTTAGGCATGCAGTGAATATTGSAATATTCACCTGAAAGTGGAAAAGGAGTTTTAGCAAAGCAGACTATATCCCCTTGGGATGGAATTTTGCTAGGTTACAGCATATCCTTCAAATAAAGCTGAAGAGTATCAAGTTTATCTCACGTAAGAGCTCAAAGTAGCTCATAGCAACTGTATAGATAAATATAGGGATCATCAGCTGGCTCAACCGGTCCTGCTGCTCGGCATCTCCAAAGAATATCAAGTAAGCTTAAAATACCAAGTGGCCTGTCTTTGTTAAAGAGACTTATTTTGACACAAACAGATGAAAAGTAATCACAAGAGCCCCTGGAAGCCCCTTTCAAAACAGAGGCAACATTAACCTCTAGCAAAGACACAGGTCAAAACAGCTTGGGCAGTATCTTCTTCAGCTGTTACCACTGAGAACAGAAGACATACTAGAGCCTAAGCCCCCCAAGACAGTCACATCTAACATGTCAAAGCCTATCTGGATATCAAGATACACCAAATGACTATTTCTTCCCTTAGTACTATTTTATGATGYGCACACATAAACACACACAAGCTTACAGGCCTCTTCATTACATCCCAACATCCTTCATTCCCACATACTTTTCTTTATCACATTTTGTCTTCTTCGCTACAATTGTGGATCTTGCTCAAGGTTTCTCAATATACAGCAAAATATACAAGAAAATGCTGGACCTGAAGCCTCAATGAGATTTACAACAGTGGATCTCACTACATGACTGGGGCAAGCTGARTGCACAGTTGCAGGCAATTACAATGATAACTTGTAGGACCTGTAAGGTAAATAGAGGAACTCCTGCAAGGCCATCACAGCCATAGCCCAAGTACTTGCAGTCTTAAACTGCAGGCTTGCTCCTACTACTAGCTGCAAGCAGGGATGATGATGATGATGATGGGCACAATCCACCTGCCCTTCTTTCCAGTGCTTTAGACTCTCTATGATGCACTTTGGCACTTACAGCATTAGGAATGGCTAAAAAAGTATCAAGATGTCAACAAACTGTGTTCAGTTTCTGAATATTTAAATTCACACCTCAACTTCTGAATACTTCTAAAGCCTATTCTATCCAGTCTTGCACTGTACACACATCCTCTGCAATCTCTACAAGAATAATTTCATTAGTAGATCAACAGCAAAGCAATATCTCATTCGCCATGTTCTAGGTTACGTATGCTACTGTTTCAACTAAAACACCTTTTACAGAAAGAACAAGTTTTTAGGAGATGAGGTCTAAAACCCCGAAGGTTTGTTAGGGACATCAAATAATTAAAGAGGTTTTACACCTCTCATCATATCAAACATACACTTTAACTAAAATGTTCATAATAGCAGCACAAGGACATGGACAGGTTTTTATATAATGTAAATCACTGAAATCAAACTTTCTTTTCTAAGCAATTTAAATCATCAACGGGTATATTACATAGACTGTGACAGATGAGAAGATCAGTGCAGTCAGCGATGCACTAAGCCAAGTGCATCTCAGTTTAGGTTAGCAAGAAAGCTAAGGAAAAGCTAAGGCTTACAGAAGAAATCCAAACCACATTAATATAACAAATCAAAGCATAAATTTCAAGGAAAAACACTACATTTACTTATTAGAAAAAGAATATCTGCAAAAGGCATTTCTATGATCAAAACTGTCAAGTTTTTGATTCTGTACCCTAAAAAATGCCTTGTTTAAAAAAAATATGCATAAAGATACCCATGGAAGTTCCAATGCATCGCGTWCCATGTTTTTAACCAAATGGATCAAACAAATCAGAAGACCACGCCAAAGCTGGGCCTACAGAATTTCTTTATTCTGTATACTGCTAGGAATACCACAATATAAAACACTCCAGTCATTAAGCCTT